GTGTAGCGACAGAAAACGGGGCATGTTATAGAAGGGTGACAATCTTCCCCACCAACCTCTACTTGGAGAGTACCTTAAAACTTACTGTTTGGTATTACTAAGTTTTCATTTACTGTTTAAAACTAGTGCGTTGATGGCGTTTTGCAGCCATGCACAACAATGACTTTTTGTCCTTGGTACTGAATGTGTTTCGTTTGTTGTAGTTAAGTTAGTTTTTGAGCAGAAAAATAAATTAGGCCTTTTTCTGATCAAAATGGGTGACAAAAACTCCAGATGGAGCATATTGTAATATTTATTGACAGAAAAGGCATTCAAAGTTTCCCCGAAGCGATATGGAGGCGGCAAATACTAATTCCTTCTGATGTTTCCCACTTCTCACCAAACTCTTGTTAATGGAAAGGATTCTGCGCTAAATGTAACTGCCAAAACCGATAGCTTTGCTGATGGAAAATAAATGTACCTATATTGTATTTTTGGCGTCTATCCAGTTCAGGTTTCCCCGTAGACAAGAGGATAACGAAGCTTCTAGAGCAGGTAATAGTGGCTATGTGTCACCAGGACTATGATTTTTATTGGACACGAGAAGAAGAAAATATCCATAGACGATCCAAACTCTGCTACGAACAAATATTTGGATTCTTTTTTTTTCTTCTGTACGTCCATCTCTTCGGTGTCACTAAACTGACAGAACTGATTAAAGCAGTGGCTGCCACCCTGCCTGTAAGACATACAAACCAACAGCTCAGCCACCCAAAACAATACTTTCGTTTTTCGTACTTTCGTACTTCCTCCTCAATTCATTCTTAAAATAGCCGCAAACAAGCTACGTAAGGCATCTGCGTACATATGATTATGGATACCTCCTATATAAAAGCTAGGACCAGCCTACAAAACAGCAACTTTTTTTCGTCAGCGACATCACATTTTTACCTCCTATCGAATAGGGTGGATTTAATACACTACATTACATGCATGACCAGAGAATTAACCTTGAAAATCCAGTGTTACTACCCTTAAAATTGCATTCGATGCCTTCAAGAAACGAAGATATATTTTACTAATCTTATCACATTTGGCCTACATAGTTGGCTTTTAGCACCGTTTGGAACGAAAAGATAAGAAAAAATCAATTCATGTTTTCTAGCAGCTATATCTTAACTCACGCTATTTATCTACATTTAATAGACCGATCCTTGTTGGCAGTCCCACTTATCAGCTCAACGAATGGCAATTGGCGGTTTGACGAATGAGGAGGGGCTACATATTAATTCTGATATACGTAATTCATTATATGCAACTATATCGACTTCTATACCAGAATTTCTCGCCATGAATTCATCTAGCAAATTCAGATACTTGTTGACTTTTGACAATCCATACATTGTGAATATAGGACAGTATCTTAAAGAATGTCTAAACGTAAGAAAACGTATGATTGTATAAGCGCCTTTTCATCCCATATCACCTGGTATTGTACTACGTAGACTGATTTGTTAGATTTGTTCTCTCATTTCTGCCATACTTTGTACCTTGTACATTGTTGCGTAATAAAAGTCATACTATTAATTTATCAATTGAGGGTATCTGGGATTTTTTTTATTACAGCATTTCGTGACAATATCTAACGACAACATATTCAATTCTATGCAAATGTCGCCGTCAAACCATACGACATTAAAAAGTGCAAGAAAACAAATACAGACAATCAAAGCACAAGCGTAACCAAGTGATGATAAACTAGTTTGGTAAGATAAACTACATAGTGCTTTTAACTAACAAAGTATGAAATGTAAGAAACATGAAATTGATAAACAGGAATACTGTAAGCAGGTACTTGGAGGTCATATTTCCAAACCGGATCCCGACCAGGAAGCTTTCGGGAACGAAAAATACGATGAAAAGTAGAAGAAAATACAAACCATTTTACAATCAGGAATACTTTTTTCGTTATACTCTTGATATAAACTGTTCACTTAAACAGCCCGGCCGGGCCCCGGTTTGAAAAATGTGACATCAGCATTAAATTTTATAGTTTGTGACCACAAAAACTTCCAACTCGTTAATAATTTACGTCTTGTCTCCTCCTATCTTGTCCCCCGTTAATTCCTGCCACCATTTCCTTAAAAGGGACACATCGGAGACCTGATTGTTTCTTCACCTGTTTTCAGTATAATCCATCACGTTTGTCAATGGTTACAATCTCAATACAGGGTCATCAGTCATTCAGACACGCGACCTGCATCACAGATGAAAACTGGGACACACACACACACACACACACACACACACACACACACACACACACACACACACACACACACACACACACACACACATACACACACAGACACATATACACACACACTCACACACACACATACACACACACACACACACTCACACACACACAGATACACACATACACACACACTCATCCACATACACACACACACACACACACACACACACACACACACACAAACACACACACACACACACATCCACACACACACACACATCCACACACACACACACACATCCACATCCACACACACACACACGCGCACACACACACACACACACACACACACACACACACTACTTAGAGGTTTCTAATATACCTGAGACAAGGGATGGGAGGGGTCTATACTATACTATACTATACTATACTATACTATACTATACCTAAACATAGGTCCAATCTAGGTCTATCTAACCCTAGCCCCAAATATTACCTTTAACTCTTCAATACGAGCCCTAACCAAAATCCTAGTCCAGAATTTAAAGAACGAACACTACACAAAGGTATCTCTTTAGCATCCTGGTGTCTGGCCCTAAATATAAGCTAGAAAAGTATGTTTTTTTCATCCCTTGCAAGTGTCTCGTCCTGGCACTCTAGATGTCCTTCCACCGCCTTTTCCTTCCCTCACCATCATCAAAACAATTTCACATTAATAAATAATTCCGTTATGTGACAGACAGTATATGGTTTTTTGGATCAGTCAGTCCCTTGATGTGTCTTAATAAATGTCCCTCATGTGCATGATATAACGTTATGGCTTTATACTAGATAAAGACCGTCTCACAATGTGTGCCACTTATCCTATTACGAATGAGTCTTTCCCCAATGCTAAGTAAAAACGGATCATGGAAGTGTGTCTGGGCGCCGGGAAGTCTAGACCGTTTAACGGTGCCTGTAAACACTATGATTTACACAAGTTGGGGACGATATGCTATAGTTATAGTTGAATGGAATAATGCCGGGGAAAGTTAGGGGACAATCAGAACTATTTTGAACGCGAGGTTTGATAAAAGAGAAAAAAAGGAATTATGTTTACCTTTGTAGCTCATTTTCTTCTTCTCCCCCTCGAAACAAATAAGTTGTGGTATAGCAACACCGTGTAGTGTTGGGTTACATTATGTAACAGAACAAAGTTGGAGAGCCTATACATATGAATGTATCTGACTTCGAGTAATAATAAACAGTGTAGTAGTTTGTTGGGATAGACCAGATGAAGATAAGCATTGATTTGTTTTGCAATTTGTACATTTCTAGTTATAATAACGATTACAATAACGTCTCATTCTACGCGTCTGCAATGAAACTTTTGTTTTATATTCTAAGCAATGGTCTATGTATTTTGGAAAGAAACAGATATTGTGTTTGTTTTAGGTTTGAAAAGCAAGATTTTACACATTTTAGCTCTAAAGACATAACAGCTTTGTTGTTGCGTAAAGGAAAAAAAAAGAAAATAAAAAAACATAACTTTTACCTCCAGCTTTGGGTTATTTCTTTACTTGCCGGCATTCAATTGGGGTTTTCTTCGTTATACAAGCTGACAATGTTCTTATCATCGCCCGCACACGCTCGCCGTATTGACCCCCCCCCCATCTGCGATAAATGTTAATAATAACATTCATTTAGTTATGGTTGTACCGTGGCTTGTAAAAGGAAGAGAAACAAAATGTAACAAATGAGGAAGATTTTATTTAATTAGGTGGTCTAGACATTTTTTTAACCTTTATTTAACCTTGAAAATGTACAGTACATATGTGTAGCAGTACAACTCTTCGGCCTGAGCCGTTTTTCAAGAGGTCAAGGGGAAAACAAGGGGAAGACATGTTCTAGTGACACCAATAGATCTTACCATCTTCAATGTATAAACGGAGTCCTTTACGGATACGAGCAGTCGTAGCCTGTATACTATTTGGCTTTATCATCGTGAGTGGGGCGCCTCTTGCGGAGTATAATTGTACTGTATGTTCTTCAATAACTTGTAAATTGAACAGCGTTGATCTAGTATACCTAACAAAGCAAATTAAGAAATTTTTTCTTAAGATTGTTTTATTAATTGAACTAAAAAGTATGTTATAGAATACGGCATCATAGTGAAAACAAACTTATTTAGTGTCACTGTTAACTGCAGCAAAAATGCTAATTTTGTTCATTGTGATGTTTACTATCTTACTGCATGCTTGTTTAATGTAGATTAAAAAACAACAACATCGTACTGCTATTCATGAGAATATGACTGGCCTTACTAAAGGTGTACACAAATACGAAATGGTGCAAAATAATTCAAAATGAAGCAAAACAGACTTTAAGTATGTTATCCACAGCATTTCGTTTTATTTCGTATTTTATGTACACCATCTTTTTGATAGTATATGATTCGTATACTTCCTTTTATTCTAGTTGGCCTAGTTTCCAGATAAATACCGGACTAAACCTATTTTGCCTTCTCTTTTACATCTAACTAACTTTAAAAGCTTTTAAATATATGTAAAATCAAGTAGGTAATATCGTTAAGATACTGGGTGGCCCCGAGGCCAGCCCCTGCTAGCCTCCTTCGCAGTCTTGTTGGGCGTCGGCGTTATTTTTCTCTGAGCGACGCGAGTAATATGCGGCCGCGAGGGACGATTTGCTGCCGAGGGAGTTTTCCAA